CCCCCCCCGCACCAAGTATGTGTCTGCTTGGTTGGACCATGATTCTCAGTGATTTGGCAGTTATGTGATGACTCCCCATAATGTGATCTGATGTGATAAACCAATAAAAGGATTAAGGGTGGGATTGTTGTTTTTAAGCACTGTTGAGTTGATTCTAACTTGTAGTGATCTTGCATAGGGTTTCTGAGGCTGTAAATCTGCAGAAGCAGAAAGCCTCATCTTTCTCCCATCGAGTGACTAGTGAGCTCAAACCACAAGCTTAAGGGATACACTACCTTTTATCTCATCATGCTCCTGATTTGATGTAAGGGAATTTTCCAGGGGTGCGGTATGCAACATCTTTTATCTTATAAGATATAAAAGGAGAGAGAAGTGAACAGAGAAAGGGGAACTTTTACTACCAAGAAAAAGCCAGGAGTGAAGTGTGTCCTTTGGACCCGGGGTCCCAGCACTGGGAAGCTCCTAGATCCAGAGGAAGATTGATTCTAAGAGGCACAGTGATCTTTAATGAATGAGAAGACAAGGACTTCTTTCCAGAGCTTGCACTCTGACTTTGGACTTGTTATCCGTCTAAATTGTGAGAGAATAAATTTGTTTGTTGGAGACATCCACTTGTGTTTCTGTTATGGCAGTCCTAGAGAACTAAGACACCAACCAAGACACTTGCTTTGACTACTTCATCAAGAGGGATCAGTTACCAGAGAAGGACATCACGTTTGGTAACGTAAAGGGCTGATAAGGGCAAAGGAGACCCTTGGTGAGATGGATTGAAACAACAGCCACAACAAGGAACTTGAACATGATGGCTACTATGAAAAAGATACAATGTTTTAAGCTGAAGTTAGAGTTGGAGTCAACTCAATAGCAGGTAACAGCAAGAGCAACTCATCTAGAAAGCTCAACAAACTCCAATAGAATAAACACAAAGAGATCCACACAAAAATGAAGGTGAAATAAAAACGTACCCAGATGTCTAAGTTATCCATAATAGAACTACCACAACAAGCAGAAGATTATTCTTTCATTCTATAGAAGGGTAGAAGTCCACATTTTGGACTTTTGTGATAATCATACTAGATCTGATAATTATATCAGCTCATAAAAGGGAGGATAATTACACAATATGAGACTCATAGCATAGTCAACTTGACATATGTTTTTGGAGAACACAAGGCAATCCATGACACTAGATAAACAGAAAATGAGAGACTTGATTATTAGTAAACACACTTCACTGGAAATATTAAAGGAAATTCTTCAGGCAGAAAGCAAATTACCCCAAACAATAATTCAAACACACACACACACACATCCACACACACAAACAAAAGCACCAGTGCAACATCCTTTCTTAAAATCCTATTTTGGTAGTTTTGAGGCCTTGGTACTGAGTCCACTCATTCACATCAAGTTCTCACACTAATGAGCAGCTCTGCTCCACTCATCCCCAGGGTTAGATACCCAACAATTAGGGACAGCCCCTATTTACCCTAAGCCTGAAGTGTTATTCAGAATGCTCAATTCACACAACTTACTTAGGCCTACGCTGCTTGCCATATATAAGCCCTCTCCTACAACTCCAGCTTCTTTTGTCTTGTACTTGCATGCAGCACCGTATGGCCCTACGTCATGGCATGCTGTGCCGCCCTGTCTTTGGGAACTGTGAGTATAATAAACCTCCTTAGTTTAAATAGTACTTCAGGTGTGGTGCTGTGGGTTAATGTGCTGGACTTGAAAAGTTGGTTTGAACCACAAGGTTTGTGGTTCAAGCTCACCATTTGCTCCTTGGAAACCCTATATAGGGTTACTATAGGTTGGAACTGACTCGACGGCACTTCACGACAACAACAACAACTTTTCATTGCCTCCTTAATTCCTCTCTCCTGCATCCCACTTGATTTATCTTCCCACAAATTTGCTAGAGAAAGTAGAAAAAATAATTATGTATCTATAAAAGGCAGAATAAATGTCTGTTTCCTCTTTCTTCTGTTAACTGATTTTTAAAAGCAATTGTATATAACAACACGTGCATCTGACAAAAGTCCTTTCATAAAAAAGTACTTGGCAAATTAGGAATATGAAGGAATTTTTTTCAAAATGACAGAGGACATCAATTTTTAAAAAAATAAACAAAAAAACCATTCCCCCCAAGGAAGTGTCAGACTCAATGGTGAAAGGCTGAAAACGTTTCTTTCTTTCTTTTTTTTCTTAAATGTTTTATTGTGAATTATGTGATAGTTTACATGGGAGAACATTAGTTTTACATTCATTCTATCGTATATCATCTCATTGCCATGGTTACAATCCCCTCCATGCTATCCTTCCCCCGTACCTCCCAGGTCTTCAGCACACAGTCGCTCTCCCTCTCTGGATCTAAAGTCTCCAGCTGCTCCACTGCTCCACGTCATCATCTTTGGCTCCATTTCAGGCATCACTGCTTCTCTGGGTAGGGTTCCACTCTCTGCTCTTCTCCTTTGATGGTCCTAGGGACCTTGCTCCTAGACTGAAAAGTTAGTCACTCCCCTCCTTGCTATAAAATGTCTACCTTTACATTTCCAACCCTCACAATCAGTCCTGAGAACAATTCTTCACTATTGTATCACAAGAGACCCGTCTGCATTTCATTGCATCAGCCCCGCCTAGTCAGGTTGAATACTACTCACTGGAGATTCTACCTTCCTCCAGGCCCTTTGGATCTAGGTTCCCTCTTGAATGCTTGTAAGCCAGTCACTTCTTGCCTTTGTAGCCCCTGCCCCCCATTTTGGGTAGCTAATGTCCAAGTTGCCCATCCCTGTCTACTCTATGTGTGGAGAGGGTGGGAATGATTCTTGCTGTAAGGATTTGTTCCCTCTTTTGAGCTACTGTTTCCATAGGTGTAGGTCAAGTTCATCAAATTGTATGAGAATACTTTTTTTTCCTCTTCTTTTTGCTTCTGGTTGAGCTCTGATCATCCAGTCACTGAAGCCAGGATAAGTGGGTATTATCTGCAAGTGTGGGTGTTCTTATGCATATGCCCTCTCTTCTTATCAGCTGGATGTTTCACTCTCCACTCTCGTTCTTTTTGGTTTTGTCCTTGCTTTTGGCCCAAGAGTCCCCAGGTCTTGCCACACTGTTGGCCAACCAGATCTTCAACTGGGTTCACAGAAGTCTATTGAACATTGTAGGGCTTAGCTCACCGCTTCATTGCTGGAAAACGTTTCTTTTAAGACAGGAAAAGACAAGGATGTACACTTTTGCTCCTGCTGTTCAACATTGTAGTGGAAGTTGTCTCAGAGCAAGTAAGCAACAAAAGAAATAAAAAAATATCAAAATTATAAAAGAGGAAGTAAAACTATATTTGTACATGCCATGATATTGCATATAGAAAATACAAAAGAATATTCAAGAAAGCTATCAGAACTAGTAAATTCAGCAAAGTTGCAGAGTACAAGATCAAATGCTTCTATATACCATCAGCAGCCAATGTGAACAAGAAATTAAGAGAAACACTGTAGTGTCAGTATTTCACAGGGCTGTTGTGGGAAACAAACCCCCAAATGCCTCAGATACTGACGCTGAGTATATCTTATTTCTTAGCTGTTTTGCAATATAAGAACAGGAAACCTCAGTTCCATTGGATCAAACCACCCTTCTCCTGTATGTATAAATTATCTATTTCTCTTTGATGGTAGAACAGAAAGGGCATTAGATTTGGAATAAAAAATTTAAATCCGAACCATAGGACTTGTAGCTAGGTTGATAAAACTGATACAGTAATATGTAATTCACATGGCTGTTATGGAAATAATAATATATCTAAGATTTGTGACAACGAAGTATACGCATAGGGAGATAACTTACTTTTGTTGTTACGCATTGAGTTGGTTCCAACTCATAGTGACCCTGCATAGGGTTTCCAAGGAGTGGCTGGTGGGTTTGAACCACCAATTTTGTGGTTAGTAGTCCAGTGTTTATCCTATAGTATCACACCAGAACTTTATAGGCTCTCAAAATATGCTAATGAGAATCCCATTAGCTCTTGTGATGATGGATACAAAGTCCTGTCATAGTGCCTGTCCCCTTCCCCATCTATTCTCCTTGGTTCTATCTCCTTCTGTCAATGAACACTTAATGCAGAGGAAAAGAGAGATCCAGATGATATCTTTCAAATTGCAGGCAATCACTCTTTAAGTGAGGCGCCACTCATATTTTAACATAGAGTGGAATGGCAACTGACAAAGAGCATTGCATATGGTAAAGATAAATATTATTTCCTGATATGCTGATTATTTGTGTACTTGTGCTCCTATGCTCACATTGTTGTTGTTGTCGTTAAGTGCCATCAAGTCGGTTCCAACCCATAGCGACCCTGTATAGGGTTTCTGAAGAGCAGCTGGTGAGCTTGAACCACCGATCTTGAAGTTCAAATGGCTTTGCAGTAGCTGCATTAATCCACAGCGCCAGACCAGGACACATGTATGTATATATATTGGGTCATTTTGTATATATATATTGGGTCATTTCTTACTATGGTAGTACTGGTGTGGTGATGCAGGATAATGTACTGGACCACAAGATTGGTTTGGGCCACAAGGTTTGAGGTTCAAAACTCATCAGCTGCTCCTTGGAAACACTGTACAGGTCCTCACTTCATAACAACACTATAGGCAATAACCATGAAAGGTTGTATGCTTTGGATACTTCCCTTCTTGCCTCCCAGCACACCCATGTTTCTGGTGGACTTTTAACCAGTTGCCCTAACTGGTTAGACATGGTCTCTTCCCCCAGATGGGACACTATGATTTAGGGTTCATCCTGGAAGTCAGAATTTGGGGCTTCAGGTCTCATGCCATCTCTAGCAGAACAGATCAGAAAGACAGCACATTTAGAATAAGAGAAGCAAACGTGACCAGGCAGTTCCTGTGGTTAACAACTCTACCCCTCCCTCACTTACTGGGAGTTATAAAACCCAAGACAGGAAAACACCCATAGCACCTGCCATGGGTGGCTGCTCTGAGAAGATGTGTCTTAGTTTTCTTCTCCTATTGGTCTTCCTCCTGTCACCCAGAGCTGAAGCTGGTGAGTCTTAGGCGTCCTTCTCTGGAACTAGTGGATCATTTCCTAAACCAAAGATGCTTGATTTGAATATAGCAGACTCTGAAACAGGGTTCCAGGATGTCCTTTTACTAGTTTCAAAGTGAAGTTGCCACTTGGGATATACCCAACCATTCTCTGTAGCTTATGGTTGGTTGGTTGGTTGGTTGGTTGGTTATAGGCAGTGGAGTTGGTATCGACTTATATAGACCCTATATAGAGTTTCCAAGCCTGTAAATCTTTACAGGGGCAGAAAGCCTCATCTTTCTCCCATGGAACAGCTGGTAGTTTCGAACTGCTGACCTCCAGGTTAGCAGCTCAGCTAGTAATCGCTACGCTACCAGAGCTCCTCTACTGTTTGTTGGTTTCTGGAATAATTCTACATTGATTGGTGAAAAGTCCAGAGTAAGTCAGAAGGGTTTCCCCCAGGAAAACAGGCATGACTTCTTAAACGTCTGAGCCTTAGAATTACTGATGATCTTTTGACTTGGTGATTCTGTAATAACACTTATGGGGTGTAGAGAATCCAGGAACCTGAAGAGCTTGAACTGTTCAGTGACACAGGATGGGGGAAGGTATATACGGTGAAAATGCCTAAATGGTATTTAAAACAGGCTTAGGGATTGCATCCTGGAAGAAGCAATGAGAATTTATGTGGGGAAAACCTACTATAGACATATTAGAGGGAACATGGCTAGAAAATATGGTGAGGATGACATTCAAGGAAAGCCTCTCTCAACTTTAAGCCAACTGTGTGTTCTCTGTAAAGAATATGCTTGTTGTCTCTGTCCAAGCCCTGGGGTTCTCTGTTTCAGGGGAGATCATCGGTGGCCAAGAGTGCAAGCCACATTCCCGTCCCTACATGGCCTACCTGGCAATCGTCACTTCCCAGGGTTACTGGGCGAGTTGTGGTGGTTTCCTGATAAGACGGGACTTTGTAATGACAGCTGCTCATTGTGCAGGAAGGTGAGAAGATAGAGTCTTGTTGATCTCCAAGGAGGAGTGGGGAATGGTAGGAACCCAGAATACACCATGGTGTGGCCTGAGGAGGGGCTCTTAGGCCTGGATAAACTCTAAGGAGAGAAAGAATTGGACTTGAAGAGATTAGCCTCATACTTGAATAGATGCCCTGAGCCTTGGTCATTGTGAGCTGAGGAAAGAGATACCTTCTCCAGCGTCACTTCTTTAAAAGTAGACCTCCATCAGCCCCATTCTAACATAAAGATAAATGAGTCACTTTGGGGATCCTGGTTCTCTGGGTCACTTCCTCTACTCCCTTTTAAAGCTCTGGTATTTATTTCTTAGGGATCAGAACTCACTATACTCATGGGAGATAGAGATTAAGGCTCATGTGGGACCCCATTGATCCCTCCTTTCCTTTGATATCCCCTGCACCTGCCCCTGATATAAGACTCCCCAGATTAGGAAATGCTAATCCTGTCTTGTCCTCATCATTCCTCCATGACCTACTCAGAAAAATTAAATAACCAAATCCATTGCCATTGAGTTGGTTCTGACACATCATAATCCCATAGGACAGATTTATTGTTAAGTGTCATCGAGTCTGTTCTGAGTCATAGCGACCCTATATAGGGTTTCCAAAGAGCAACTGATGGGTTTGAACTGTTGGTCTTGTGGTTTATAGTCCAGTGCTGATTCTTTAATGCCATACCAGGAGTCCAGGACAGAGTAGAAGCACTTTATATGGTTTCCAAGGCTGTAATCTTTATAAAGGAGTCCTGGTGTAGTGTTGTGGTTAATGCGCTGGACTGCAAAGTCAGTTTGAACTGCAAGGTCGGTAGTTCAAGCTCACCTGCCACTCCTTGGAAACCCTATACAGGGTTGCTATGGGTCGGAACTGACATGATGGTGCTTAACAACAGCAACAACAATCTTTACAGAAGTAGACTGCCACATTTTTCTCCTGCTTTTGTGTGTTTGAATTGCCAACCTCTAAGTTATCACAGAAATTGTTAACCACTGTATCACAAGTGCTCCAAGATCTTCTCAGTCCTCAGCAATTCCTGAGGATCTGCTTAGGTCCCAGAAATTCTTGAGGATCCTGGAAGTTGTCTCTGCTCCCTGGATTGTTGTAAAGTGCCATCAAGTTGGTGCCAACTCATAGCAACCCTGTATATTGTTGTTGTTAAGTGCCATCGAGTCGGTTCCGACCCATAGCGACCCTGTACAGGGTTTCTGAGGGTGTAAATCTTTACAGGAGTAGAAAGCTTCATCTTTCTCCCGTGGAGCGGCTGGTAGTTTCGAACCGCTGACCTTAAGGTTCGCAGCCCGATTTGTAACCACTACGCTACCAGAGCTCCTAAGGTAGGTTTAAACTACCAACATTGCAGTTAGGAGTTGAGTGCTTATCCTACAGCATCACATTAGAACCCCTGGATAGCTCATCCCAAATACCATAAGTGGCCCAGAAAAAGTCATGGGTAAAGACCTGGTGAGAGGCACCCCGTTTCCTAAAGTGGGTATATTTTGGCAGAAAACCCAAACCATCACCATTTCTCCTAATCCTTCTTTTTCTTTCATATTAGCTCTATAACAGTTATCCTTGGAGCCCATAACATAAGAAAAAAACAAGACACATGGCAGATACTCAAGGTTGTAAAACAATTTCCTCATCCAAAATATAATGACTCTGCAGTTCTCAATGACATCATGTTACTAAAGGTAATAGCATCTGTCTTCCCCTTCTCTGCTTCCTGTCTTCTTGACTTTTCCTTCAGGTCCCTATTATTCTGAAACTTCCCTGATTTTCCTTTGAAACACAATCCTTTCCAAATCACCTATTTGGGCTCTGGTGGGAATGGTCCTCCCTGACTGACTCCAACTGCTTTCTTTCTGACTCATTTCTAGCACTGACAGGCCCTCAATTCCCTTTACAGCTAAAGGAGAAAGCCAACCTGACCCTGGCTGTGGGAACACTTCCCCTCCCACCCCAATACTGCTTTGTCCCACCTGGGAGAATGTGTCGGGTGGCTGGCTGGGGAAGAACAGGAGTTATGGAACCTACATCAGACGTTCTGCAAGAGGTGAAAGTGAGACTCATGGACCCCCAGGCCTGCAAACACTACCCGGATTTTAACCACCAGTCCCAGCTGTGTGTGGGCAATCCCAGGAAGATAAGATCTGCATATAAGGTGACTTCCAAGCTTGGATTCTGCCCCCAAATCACTGCTGGAGGGTCATACTTCCCTTGGGAGGAGAAGGGGTCAGAAGATTGTCAACCAGTGAGAAGGTTTGGGATCACAGGACTGAGGAAACTCTCCCTCTGAGATCCTTCTTCACATGGTGTGGTACAGTCTCTGGCCTTTCATGTTAGTCTGTTGCACAGGGAACATGAACAACAGGAAGAAGCCACAGTGATTGTCCCAGAGAAGGAAGGGGACCTCAGACTCAGATGTACAACCCCATGAGGAGTCAAGGCTGCTGGGACTGAGTTTAGGTCTGATTGTGGCCAGGAGTTGGGACCCACAGGTAGGAGTGGAGGACTTTTTAAACTCACCTTATGCCCTCTCTTTCTTTCTCTCTCTCCCCAAATAGGGAGACTCTGGGGGCCCGCTTCTGTGTGCTGGGGTGGCCCAGGGCATTGTCTCTTATGGAAGGCATGATGCAAAGCCCCCTGCTGTCTTCACCCGAATCTCCAATTATCGACTTTGGATCAATAAGGTCCTGAAGGAGAATTAACCCTGCTAGCCTGGACCAGCCTGAGAAGAAACCAAGACCTGAACCTGAGCAAACTTCTCTGTGCCACTCACTCTGAACCTGTCCTTCTTTCTCCTGAAATCTTGCCACATCCCTGAGCCTCACGAAGTTTCCTGCATATTACAGAGCTCTCAATAAATTTCAATAAAGACCTGCTTCCAGAGTGTGTGTCTCCTCTTTGGTGCTCTCTTCTCCTAGTACACAGCAACCTGACTCCTAGTCCAGGAAGTCTGTAAGATTTGGAAGGGTTGTGGGTGTATGTGGGTGTGTGGGAGAGAGAGAAGAGACAATGAGGAGGACAAAATAGAGAAAGAAAGAAAAGGAAGGATTTCCTACTGAGGCAGAATCCACATTTCCAACATAAACAAAAAATGACATCAGATCCTTCTTTGCCTTAATCTTCAATCCTGTTCCAATTCTGATGTATCATTCATAATTTTCAGAAACATTTTGAATTTCAAGCAAAATACAGTATGTTTTGAGTTGCATTCCTGACCTCTGTGTACTAGATGCCAGGAGGAATCTCCCTCCAAGTTGTGACAACCAAATATGCCTGCAGACATCGATAAATGTCCCCTTATTGTTGTGGTTGTTAGGTGCCATCAAATCACTTCATATTTATAACCACCCTCAGCACAACAGAATGTAACACTACCCAGTGTGCACCATCCTCACGATTCTTCTGTTTGAGCTCACTGTTGTAGCCACTGTGCCAATCCATCTTGTTGGGGTCTTCCTCTTTTTCACCGATCCTTTATTTTACCAAGCATGATGTCTCTTTTCAAGAACTGGTGCCTCTTGATGATCTGCCCAAAGTATGTGAGGTCAAGTTTTGCCATCCTTGCTTCTAAGGAGTATTATGACTGTACTTCTTCCAAGACAGATTTGTTTGTCTTACGGTAGTCCTTGGTACTTTCAATATTCTTTGCCAACACCATAAATGTTCTCTAGGGATGCAAAATTAACTCTCATGAGAACCTCTGGCTTATGCACATGATACAGAAAAGACAGTTGGCACCACATGGGGCCTTTAGATAAGAGATCTAGCATGTGTGGAACTTTGAATTCATGATGCAGAGAAGATTGCCTCTCACTCCCAGTTGCAAAACCAATACCAGGAGCAGATAAGTGGAGCGACAGCATCAAAAAATTTACACGAGCAACACCAAGCCACAAAGGGCTTCACCTAAACCAGAAGCAGAGGTGTAGAGCCTGCCCAACACAAACTCTGTCAATTGGCCTAAATACAGGAGACAAAGCAGGGCAGGACAGGGGCAGATCAACAGGAACCTGAAGCTGATATTACTAACCAGTTTAAATCCCTTTAACTAAGTGAACTAGGGATTTGTCTTGCAGAAAGGATCATCAGAGATGAGCACGAAGAGTCACATATAAGGATTTCAATCCCAGCACTTTTAATAATAAAAATGTTTGAATCCAACCATGAAACAAAGTTTAAATGGCAAATTCATATGATTGAATATTATCAATAATAAATTATTTTATTGAAATTTTAATGAAAATTGGTTCTCAAAAGATTTAATGATGTAGTACAATTTGATATAACATTCTAAAAGGCAATATAGAAATCTCTCTACAATAAAATCTCAATTTTTGTTGTTGTTAGGTGCCATCAAGTTGATATCGACTCATAGTGACCCTATGTACAACAGAACGAAACACTGCCTAGTTCTGAGCCAAGCTCACAATCATTGCTAAGCCCACTGCTGCTGCTACTGTGTGAGTCCATCTCGCTGGGGTCTTCCTCTTTTTCTCTGACCCTCCACTTTACCAAACATGATATCCTTCTCTAGTGACAGGTCCCTCCTGACAATATGTCTGAAATATGAGAGACAAAGTCTGGCCATCCTGGCCTCCAAGGAGCACTCTGACTGTACTTCTTCCAACACAGATCTGTTTATTCTTTTGGCAGCCCATGGGACTTTCAATATTCTCCTCCAACACCATAACTCAAATGTATCAATTCTATTTTATATGTGTATCAGGAAAGACTAAAAATAATTACCTCAATATAATTATGGTGGTTATCAATAGGGGATGGGATTCACATCTTTTTTAAAAAAATATATAATCTGGCTCAAAACCCCATATATTTTGGAGATACAGCACTAGATTTCTACTGACCAGAGGATTAGCACATATACCCATCTTTTATCGTCCATTGGTCCAGGTTACTTCATGGGTAGTCAACATTCTTACACTCCTAGACAAAGAAAAAAACTAATATCCAAAGGAAGTACCAATACCAATAAAAATGATGAATTGCTCCTTTCAAAGTAGAATAGGTCTGAAGTAATCTCACCAGGTGGCTGCCTTGTCTCTCCAAGAGGAGTAGAGATGTGTCATCTCAAGGGTTCAGCAATTGTCATCGCCACTGGGAGGTTGAACATTCTCAATCATCTTTGCTACTGGCTTGTGGCGGTAGTTGAATCAATCTTGGTGAGAGATAGACCATGCTTCTGGACCCTTGAACAAACTGTACCCCTACCTCTGTGACCACTTTACTCTGTTCATGGCACTCTGCCAAAACTGGAGTGGTCCAGAAAACAATCTGACTGATGTCCACAGAACATAATACCTTCCCACCTGGTCTTTGATCCACTGTGAGTCCACTGGACCAGTGATCAGACACAACAATCCCTCCTTCTCTTCTCAGGCATTACTGAGCAGGAGGGAATCCTTGGTCAGTGCTGGCAGCATAGGGATTTATGACCATGGGGACTGTATTAGCTGTCATGAGAACCGTTCCAACTTAAAAGCAAAGCAAACCATCACTAAACGGGGTCCAGTGGATCTGGAGTAGTATACACATTTTAGTTAGAATTTTCCATTATTCAAACTCATCATTGTCCTGTTAATAATTAGGTCATCACCAGGGTAAGGTCATGAGACCAAGTATATATGTCATGTTGTTGTTGTTGTTGTTAAATGCCATTGAGTCAGTTCCGACCCATAGCAACTCTGTATAGGATTTCCAAGGAGCAGCTGGTGAGCTTGAACCATTGACCTTGTGGTTCAAACTGACTTTGCAGTCCAGCACATTAACACAGAGAGCCACACCAGCACTCCATATCTATATAAATGTCATGTGTTGTAGTGAGTGAGGCAGAGATATGAATGGTATTGGGGAAGTGATGCTTATGGAGGATGGGAAAAGACAAATTTCACAGTCATCAGCTAAACTGTGATACTTCTAGGAATTTTCTCAGAATGTTAACCAAACTAGAACAAGATGCACAGGCCACAAAATTGATTGAACATCCTCCTCTTTCAATTAACATAAGAAACCATTTCTTCTTAACTAAGAACAACTTTAGTAAATCAAACCTATGGTCATCAATTCTATTCCAATTCATGATAACCCACGTGCTATGAATAGAACTTCTCTATATGATTTTCTTGGTTACGATCTTTGTAGATGTATATTGCCTAGACTTTCTTCTGTGGAGACAGTGCATGGTTTGAACCATCAACCTTTAGGTTAGTAGCCAATGCAACACAAAGAAATCAAGGGCAACTCTAGCTCAACTTAATTCCCCAACCTCCTAGATGGAAACAATAAATAAGAATTTATATAATCAGTCACTGAATGGCCCACACTTTCTAACAACATCTAGTTCAGAAGTGACCTCTATTTTTGACCTTTTCTTAGCATCACTTAGCAAAATCATAGAATAAGCCCATATCAGTTCCTTCTTATTGAGATACACCCAACTTCCCCTGGGGCATAGTCTCCCATGCTGCAACAAGCTAAATAAACTTTGTTTGATTTCACATGTGTCTAGTGGTTTTGGATTTGTGGGCTTCAAGAAGAAATTATTGACGAAAGGATTATGCCACACCATCCATATAGTTAAATGCAGACTGAGGGTATGAGATGAATGATGAGGAACAAGTTTCTGCTTTCCCATCAACATTCTAGCCTATTAGGAATCCCCAAGAGTAGGAGCTCTGGATTCTGTTATCTACCTCTCTCCTGAATTTTACTCACTTGTCAGACAGGGAATGAGGCATGGAGATCACAGGGCTGGGATTTGGCATTAATCACACATGGGTTCAAAACTCAGTTATAGCAGTTATGAGCTCAAGCCTCAATTTTCATATCTGTATACATTCTTACTTTGGCCATATAAAGAGGATAATCATATGCACCCCCTACACGCATGGAAATCATGCGTCCCCACCAGAAAATCACTGAACGATCCAGTAAAAGTTCCCATTAAAATAAAATTGAGATCCAAACCATTTCATAACTTTTCCTGCCAGTCTACCACACTAACACTGACTTTGAAATCTAACCCTACACACCTCCTGTCAACCAACAGAAATACAGCTTTTTAACTGTTATGTGTGAGACGTCATTAGGGATTCAAGGAGAGTGTTAATAAAAGATTAAAAGACCTCAAGAAGGTTATCTATCAACAAGGGTGTAAAAGGTAATAGGGAAAAACTGGAGGAGAGAAGTGTCTTGTTATATAATGGTACAAAGTTTGACAGCATCGTCATCTATTGTAACATGGAAAATAAGAACTTCATCTTATAAACTCAATGAGCTAGCTAAGATTTCCAGGCAGGATATTGGAAGTGTCATCTGGTGCCTTCTTGCTACCTAGATTAAAATGCCAAAGGAGAGAGATAAGATGAAAAACAAATGGCTAAACATAAAATTGTTTTTGCTGCTGTTAAGTGCTGTCGAGTTGGTTCCCACTCATAGTGACCCTGTATAGGATTTCTGAGGAGTGGTTGGTGAGCTTGATATGGTGACCTTGCTGTTCAAACTGACCTTGCAGTCCAGTGCATTATCCCACAGCGCCATACCAGTACTAATTGTTATTGTTGTTAAGTGCCATCGAGTCGGTTCCGACACATAGCCACCCTGTACAAGGTTTCTGAGGCTGTAAATCTTTATGGGAGCAGAAAGGCTTATCTTTCTTCCACGGAGCGGCTGGTAGTTTCAAACT